CCCGCGCTCCACCTACGATCCCTCCCCGATCGCGCACACGTGCGCGGGCACCCCGACTCCAATTCCGCCCCCCGAACACCCTCCACCATCCCTCTCTCGATCCCGATCTCTCTCCCTCCCCTCGCTTTCACCCACTTCCCGCCCGCCAATTTCGAGCACTCTTCAACCCTCTTTTCAAAGCTGTTTTTATCCTTCCCTCGCGGAACTTCTTCGCTATCGATACCGACCTTCCCCAACTCCGATCCCAACCACCCCCGCCCAATCACGCTTTTCCCCACTCCCATTTGCGCGCCCCCCTTCGTTGCGCCCAACCCCCTGTCACGTCATACCATCCCCACCCCGGTCCGGTACCGGCTTACTCCGGCCTGGACCAAGGCCGGTATATCTTTCCGGCCTAGGCCCAGTGGTCACTCCTTCAGTTGTTCGTTCTTCATCGAGTCGGACTGGACCCTCACTCAGCTGCTGGTTCTCGTGTGTGTCCATCTCCTCTCTCTCTCTCTCTCTCTCTCTCTCTCTCTCTCTCTCTCTCCATCTCCGCACGGGTCATCAGAGTTTGACCAACGACCGTTGATGGCCTTCCGCAGGGCCGGCAATATCCTGTCATTGTTTGAGTGTAGGCTTTCTTGCGTAGGTTGCATTTTGGCGGACAGGAGAGACTGTGAGCAGTACACTGGATTAGTGACTGTCTATCTCCTCAACGGATTAGTCTATCTATCTTGTTGCTGAGGGGAGAGGGGAGAGGGGGGAGGGAGGGGGGAAGAAGGGGCGGGAATGAGAGGCAATTGCGTCAGACATTGTGTGGTCTGACGACACTTGGGAGCGGTGAACAAAGAGCTTCGCCTCGTCCGTCTATGGAGCTGGTAGGACTACCCGTCTTCACCTGAATACAACGCACGGTCATTGTTTTGTAGTAGCTGTATTTGGGGCAACTTTGAGTCTAGGTACGGCCATTATGACTGTACGTTGTATTCGAGGGAAGAAGGTCGTATGATTTTTCTATCTCCATGAATGATGACATTCAATATTCATCGTGTAGTGAGTATTGTTCACTGCCAGGTTGGCTCTGCCCTTGGACAAGTGCCACGTCGGTTCTGGTGTGGAGAAGTGCCACGTTGGTTCTATCGTTGGCCCGTTAGAGCCGTATTTGGGGCAACTTTGAGTCTAGATGCAGCCATCTTCGGTTCTGACGTGTAGAACTGCCACGCTGGGTGTGCCGTGAGGAACTGCCACGTGGCTCTTCCGTGAAGAACTGCCATGTTGGTTCTACCTTGGATGTAATATTCTCTCTCGTATTGTTATATTTCGAATCTGAGAGTCAATGGGTAACGAAATACGCTTTAGCTATTTATGTGAAGCTCTTTTTATGGTCCTGAAGTAGTACTACTTGTCATATCCGTAGAAGTACTACCAGTAGTAGTAACAATAGTAGTACTACCGTTTTCCCCCGAACACAGCGCACCCTCATTTTGGCCGCTCCGGACCGGAAAGATAGCTTGTATACATTCGTCATCAGGGTGCGTTGTGTTCGGAGAAAGACGGTAGTAGTATCAATCGTAGTATGTCCTAGTAGTAGTAGAAGTTGTCAGCCTTAACCGCGCGAGTCTGATGCTGATGCGTGTCAGTAGCTGTAGTTATCACTGGTATATCAGTAGCACTACCGTCTTCATCCGAATGGAACGACCGGTAATTATACCAATAGTATCTGGACTGAAAGTTGTGCCAAATGCAGCATGAATGACCGGGCGTTCTATTCGGGTGAAGACGATAGCAATCAACTGCCCTCATGAGGGCGCTGATGAGCGTGTTGTAGCTTGTTAGCGTCTGCACATTCATCGTCGTCGTCGCCCGTTAGCACTAGAATTAGCACTAGAATTAGCACTAGAATTAGCACTAGAATTTGCAATCGACTTACCGCAACGACGGCGGTGATTAGCGTCTGTCTGCTCATTCATCTGACTTCTTTGCTCGTGTTGCGCACTCGTCTATCGCCCCTCGGTTCTGTGTTCTTTCTCAGCTATTCGACTCCCTTCTTCTAGGTTGTTGTTGTTCTTCTTCTTCTTCGTCGTCGTCGTCGTTGAGTTCATCGTCGTCCTTCGTGCGTGGAGTTGTTGACGCCCACCTGAGGATGATCGGCGCGCAGTGGATCGAAATGCGCGTCGGGGAACGTGCACTTAACTGAGACTACTACCGTCTTCACGCGAAGAGAACGTACCGTCTTTTTCGTTGCATCTGGACCGAACTTTGGGCCGAATACACGGACACAATGGCAGTACGTTTTATTCGGGGGAGGAGGGTAGAAGGCGCGGCATTGTATTACTTGCTGTATTAATCTTGTGAAGCGTGTGTGGAATGCAGTTGGCCCCTGTTTTCACTATTCTTCTTCTTCTTCTTCTTTTGCATCGTTGTCCTCCGTGGAGTCGTCGACGCCATCGCCGTTCTTTGAAAGGTGTTTCAATGACTAGCGCTTTCAAAGTCCTCTCTCCTTCTTCTCGTTGTTCCCTTCCTCCTCCGTCTTCTTCTTCTTCTTCTTCTTCTTCTTCTTCTTCTTCTGCTGCTGCTTCTTCTTCTGCTCCTGCTTCTGCTTCTACATCTGTTTTTATTTCCACGTCGTCAATTTCCGAGTTGTCGTTGTCGTCATCATGGGGCATTCGATGGGGGTATCGGCAGAAGAGGATGGCTGCGAAGGTGACAATTTTACACGTGTCAGCTCGTCGTCCCGTTTTCCTTCTGAGCCTGAGGTTGGCGTTGCTGCTTTTTTTGTCGGATGTTATCCGATCCGCTGCTGCTGCCACGTGGCCGTACCGTGAAGCATTGTCCAAATCTCTTCTCTTCTTCGAGGCTCAGCGATCGGGACGTTTGCCGCCCTCGAACAGAATCCCTTGGCGCGGCGACTCTGCGCTGAACGATGGCAAAGATGTGGGCATCGACCTCACCGGTGGGTATTATGACGCGGGAAACAACGTGAAATTTACCTTCCCTTTGTCGTTTGCGATGACCATGCTCTCCTGGGGGGTCGTCGAATACCGACAACAGTTTCAGCAAGCTGGGGAGCTGCAAAATGCCCTCGACGCCATCAAGTGGGGTACCGACTACCTGATCAAAGCGCATCCGGAACATGGCGTTTTCTACGCAAGTGTAAGTTTCTTCGTCTCACCCCAGAAACCGTCTGTTGTCGCCTGCTCTGTCGTCTGCTCTGTGGTCTGCTCTGTGGTCTGCTCTGTCGTCTTCTCTGTCATCTGCTCTGTCGTCTGCTCAATGACGCGTGCGCATTGACGTGCGCAATGACGTGCGCAATGACGACACCCACGCAAAGCAAGAAGGAAATGGAAGATTATGCTTTGTCGAGTTTTAACCGCATCCTCAGGAACGAAAACAGAAAAGGCAGTTTTTTTTTTTTCTTAAAACAAAAAAGACAGGTTTTGATTATTATTATTATTTTTTTAATTTTAAATCAGGGCGACAGCCTTAAGATATCATCTTCGAACTGACCGTCCCCAAGGGCGAGGTCCCACTTGGCAAAGAGGATTGGATTAACCGCCAGAATCTGGACGTGTTTTACACAGAGATGCAGAACAGCAGATCTATCGTCAGTTTGTGCACCTCTCCGCACACACGTCCAGATTCAGACCTTCAATCCAATCCTGTTTGCGAGTGGGACCTTGGCCCAGTAAGTTCAGAGTTGTTTTCATTCCTCTGCCTCCATTGGAACTCAACAGTTGATGGGTGTAGCAGCTGAGCTACGCCAGCTGGTGGTTTTGAGTTTTAAGTTTTAAAGAAAGTTGTAACCGCATAATAGAAAGTGCTGGTGGTTTTGAGTTTTTTTTTTTTTTTTTTTTTTTAAAGGCTAATTCTTTAAGCCCAACAAAGTTGTAACCGCATGATTGTTCTTTTCTTTAATTCGTTTTCTTGTTATTCAACTTCCTATTAACTGATTTTTGACGACAATTGGTTGGATTATAATGAGGGCATACTCACACTAGCACTTTCCGAAAAGTATCTGGCCGCAATTACGGCAAGACCTGGATGAATCTTACTGTAATGATGTCTAGAGCTTAGTAGAAAAAGCCCTACCGGTAGTGTGAGTCTGCTCTGAGGAGGATGCTTGATGACAGCAGAGTATAAAACGATTTTTTTTTTTAACTTATTTTTGGTGCTGTGCACAATCACGGTAAAGTATATAACAACATGCTTACGAAGTCGAAATTACGGGAAAAGTCCTTCGGGACATCCGTTAAAATTGGAACGATACAGAGAAGATTAGCATGGCCCCTGCGCAAGGATGACACGCATAAATCGTGAAATGGTCCAAAAAAAAAAAAAAAAAAAAAAATTACGGGAAAAAGAGGGGGCTACGTCAGAATGCTTGTGGACANAAAAAAAAAAAAAAAAAAAAAAATTACGGGAAAAAGAGGGGGCTACGTCAGAATGCTTGTGGACAAAAAAAAAAAAAGGAAAGGGAAAAGAAAAGAAAAAAAAGCTTGTGGACAGCAGCGTGAACGGTCATGTGGGGGACAGTGCAGGGCGCAAGGTTTTCTGAGGGCATACTTGTTGTGCACTACCGTCTTCACCCGAATAGAACACCCGGTCATTATAGCCGTATTTGGTGCAATTTTCGGTCCAGATGCAGCTATATAATGACAGGGCGTTCTATTCGGGTGAAGACGGCAGGACCCTTTTGGACTGGGCTCTGGACATAGTGTTGGGGTCACAGACACAGCCAGGGCCTGCCGTTATTGCAGTCAGATTCATCCAGGAAAGTCCAAGCGTAAGCATGCATGCTCAGACGAAGAGCGGGCAACGGAAGTGCGCCAAGGGGTTGGTTTGGAGGATGAAGGTACCAAACGGAAGAAGCTGAATTTACCCCCACTGAGGGGGGATCTGTAGCCATTGCGTAGTTCAGGTTTCACTTCGGTAGATTGTTCACTACCGTGCGCTGCCGAAGCCGGGGAACGAGAGTCCGAAGATTTACCGGGCGAAGCTGTGGCTGTGGTCGACGGACGAAGTCCGAATCCACACGTTAATTTTGGTATTTATTTTCTTGCTAAAGCTGAAGAAGGTGGTCAAAGCCGACGGTCAGATTCTCGCCATGAAGGAGATTTTTGAGAAGTCGACGACGACAATCAAGAACTGTGTGTGGCCTGTGGCTTCGCTACCAGAGCAAGACGGGATACCGTAATACTTCAGTATGTTCCAAGGAGTACAGAGCCGCGACTCTGAATGGAGAGCATGGAGCAGTTGAGCAGATGTAGGGCCTCGCTGCACTACTCTTGAAATGCACAAAGGACAAAAATCATGGCCATGTATCTTTCCATGTTCTACCGGAACACTCTCGTTTTGCACATTTCGAGAGTAGTGCAGCGAGGCCCGTACTCTGAGATGCCGTCGAGGCATCTATCATCGTGAGCGCTTCCCGTGCATCCAGATCATCAAGACCTCAACGATTCATATACTAGTAATTGTGCCGCCACGCCGTGACAATACCAAGCAGTTGCACGACAGGAGAGTCAGATATCCGGGGGCAAGTCCCACTTACCTGAAGTCTCAATTCCCGACCTTCGATTAGCAAGATCGACGGCCAGAAATGAAGAATCAGTGTAAGCGGGACTTGGCCCCCGCTGACGTTCAAGAAGGATTCCCCCGCCGACGAGGAAGTTGAGGACGACGTACAAGGCGCCAAAGCATTTTTTTTTTTTTTTTTTTTTTTTGTTGCGTGTACTAAATGAATTCAACGACAAACAACGTGACATGCTATTGGGCGACTTACAAGCTCCCCACTACTCACTAATTTATCAGACATAGGGCCTCGCTGCACTACTCTCGAAATGTGCAAAACGAGAGTGAATCTTACGCTAGAATATGGAAAGATACACGGCCAATATTTTTGTCTTTTGTGCATGTCGAGAGTAGTGCAGCGAGGCCCATAGAATGGATCTTCGGCTAGAACATGGGAAGGTACACAGCCATTTCTTTTGTCTTTTGTGGAAGCCTGACGAGAGTAGTAGTGGAGCGAGGCTCATTTTCTCTCGGCTACTGGTGGATCGCTCCGGATCGAGTTCGGTGACTGATGATTCCTTTGATGGTCGCGAGATCGACGACAGTACGGGAGTGTTTTTTTTTTTTTTTTTTTTTTTTTTTTTTYCTCGDTGRGTGATGWTTCYTTTGWTGGTCGSGAGATCGACGACAGKACGGGRGTGTTTTTTTTTTTTTTGGCCCGATGGACCACGGATCATGTGGCCCGATGGATCATGTGGCCCGATGGATCATGTGGCCCGATGGACCACGGATCAGATATTAAACTGATGACGGGAGTGTATTTTCGCGTCAGCGATGCGTAGGTAGCTAGCTGTGAACGCTAGTCGCGTGTGCTCCCCTCAGAGCTTCTCAGGGAAAAGCGAGCTCTGTGGTGTGTCTAAGCGATACGCGTTTAAGGACAGCTTTGGGAAAGAGCTAAAGATGCCAAGAGTATGTGACTATTGCGGCCACTCGTTCGTCAATTTTTGTTTTGTTTTTTATTTTATTTTATTTATAAAAGCTAGATTCTTCTCTCAATTTCACCTTACATTACGTTCGTCATTTTTTTTTTATTTTTTTTTTCACAAAATAGGACCGTATGGTCCTGGCTCCTTTTCCATTCTGGTGAGCATCAGTCCGGTTCCTATTCCCCCGGCAAGTCCAAGATAGTACAAAGGTTACTCACTCGCGCTCCTCCCCCTTATGGTGTGGAGGCCCAGAAGACGGCATTGATTACTTCCTTGAAGAAGGATGTACCGCTCTTCAGCCCTGCCTAAGTTAGCCTGTTCTAGTACCTGCTGCTTGACTCTGCTGGAAATATCCGGCCTCTTCTCTGGCTGATCCTCTCTATGAAATGGGCCTGTGACACTCTACTTCTAGACTCCTTGGGCGCAGTTTAACTTGAGAGTGTCACTTGAAGCTAAAACCCTAAACCCTAGCTTGGTTGCACTCTGCTGATAGGACTTTTCCTGATGATTGTTTCCTGGCAGTGCCTACTGTTGATGTGAGGTCTGTTTGAATTCTGTAGCCTATTCTCTGTTTGGGGTTGGGGTAGTAGGAGGTGGGTTGGTAGGGTTGGGAGTTTTGAGTCGGTGGAGGTTGCGGGGTAGCTGCGGAGCGCAGGAGTGGGAAGGGGAAGGGGATGCGTGTGTTAGTATGTGTTTGCTCGGGTTTGGGGGATGGGGAGGGGGGAGCGGACGGAAATGTGTAGAGGAGGTGGCTATGAGGTTGCTGCTGTGGGGGTGGATGAGTGTTATGGGGTCGGTTTGATAGCGGTGATGGCTGAGATGACGTTCTTCAATTATAATCTCGCTCTGGTTGCCTTTTCAAAAAAAAAACAAAAAAAAACCTGATGAGAGGGCGTGGCACTGCTGAAACTGGTCGGGGTACCATTTCCCACTGGTAGATGTGCTGTTTCCTCCCCCCCCCCCGTAAAATGGCAATGGCCTTGAGATATCATCATCGAGCTGACCGCCCCGAGGTAATTCAGAATCATTTTATTCAGTTCATCTGGTCGCATCTGGATTCCAACTTGGGTCTGTATATCAACAGCTCAGGGGTGTATCAACTGAGCTAGGCCCGTTGGTAGTTGTGCTGTTTTCTCAAGCCTGCATGCTGCCTACTGTTGAATTTGAATAAAGAATGGAGTTTCAATTTTGTTCGATTTCATCCGTTTCACTGTGTACTCGCAATTCCTGGCAGAGGGAAGCAGTGGTACTCCAAATTTCCCGAGAGGCGAACTCTTTCTGTTAAGGGGGGGAGGAGGAGGGGGGGGGGGAGCACTCTTTCTGTTGTCCTTCCGGACATCCGTTAATTTTTATTTTCATTTTTCAGAATGTACATCCGTTAAATTGGAACGAGAGTCCTTCGAGGACATCCGTCAAAATAGGAACGATATAGAAAGATTACGATGGCCCCTGTGCAAGGCTGGGGATCCTACGTTCGTCCCCCGAATAGAACGCACAGGCATAATAGCTGAATGGGGACAAGTTTCCAGATATCATCATTTATTGAACTGACCGGCCCCAGGTAATTCAGGTTCAGAATGATCTTATTCTTTTCATCTGAAGGTATCTGGACTCGAAATTGAGCCTGTATTTCAACAGTCCAGGGGGGTTGTACCA